GTCTTCTATTAACCAAGCGAGCTAAGTAAAGAACAATCAGTTTTAAAAATATATTACAGTACTTAGAATAAATATTAATAACTTTAAAATCAACAGAAATGAAAGAGTTATCAGTCCTAGACATACACAAAAATTATGTTCTTTATAGCACAATCCCCAGGAATTTGTACTCAAAGTTCACTATCTTTTTACTTTAAGCATTTTATGGAAGAGTGTCAACATACAAGCAAGAAACTTTTGGTCCATTATACAGACATATTTCTAATCTCCTTGCTTTAAAGTTCTGTTTAAAAAGAGGCTGCAAAAGAGGAAACACACAAGAAAACTTAAATGATTTCTGTAGAAATTGAATGGAAATCTAACCTGTAGCAGTAAGAAAAAACAGCTCTAATAAATAAATAATAGTCCTTATTGATATTTTTTAGTATTTAAAAGATTTCTGCTATAATTTTTTCAAGGAAAGAAAATGCCAACTGCTCTGCAAAATAAAAAATGATTGGCAGTGGATTCTTCTTCCCAGAGCTGCTAAATAAATTAGTGTAACCTCACATTAATTTAGAATTAAAACTTGCAATGTGTGAAGGCTTTTTTCTTGCTACAACTTTAAGTGTTAAATTACTACCTTACTTTTGAGATGAGACATCTTCAAGAAGCAAAGAGAAATCAAGTAGAAACACATTTTGTAGATTTTCTTAAGCCTTTTTATAGAATTGATTAATATTCATTCTAGATAAGTTCTACTTCCATTGCCAACACAGAAATGAAAAAAAGATCATACATTAATCACCAAATATTGTAGATTACTGTGCTAATAAGCACAAAAGAAGCCACTTTCTGCCATTAGCTTTTTCCTTTGTTTGTGATGTGACATTTGGTTCCTGCTAACAGCTGCCATCTCACAAGATTAGATGACCCAACATCAATTTCTTTAATTTGCTGACTACCTTGGGATGTTGTTAGCTCCAATTATAAAATCTGATTTGCATGAAAATTTCTGTTTATGAACACATTAATTGACTGCAATTAATTACCTACATCAACACATAACAGTGTGTTGATGGCATAATGAAATAATATGTGTAATTAAAAGTGGATGAGACTAAAAATAATTTGGTCTTTTGAATATCAAATAAACAAAATGTTTAGTGGCTAAAAAACCCTTCCTCCAACTGAAATTTACTCAAACATACCAAAGCTTCCATTTTCAAGCAAGCTTGGTGTGTGAACTTTGAAATGCACGTCTGGAAGTACATGTCATGTTTGTAAGATGAGGTTAGAAATAAACGTTAATCTTTAAGCTAAAGACATTTCATTTGTTTCATTTTCACATAGGCCAGGGATGTTGAGGTTTCTAGCTTCAAACAAACTTTTTGCTGCTAGTGGTTTGGATACATCACACACATTATTGTACTTAATAAGTTTAATTTAAGAGTCGTTACATTTAATTTGAAGACAATAGAGAAATATAACGTACTTTTTCAGCAAACATCTGTTATCTGTATGCATGCTGTGTGGACCCCATTCACAGTATTTTAAAACAACAGAATACCTGTTTCTTGCATTGTTACTGGAGAACTCCTGCATTTTATTTCTGGCTTGTGAATTTTAGCCAAGTTCAGCAGTTGTGTAACTTGTGGCACGTCTGTATTTAGCTGGCAGGATCGAGGCATAACACCTGTGGGCTCACCTGGAGTCAATGGCACAAGGCACGTATCTAGAATAAAAAAAACTGTCTTCACTCTCAGGTGACACTGGCATAAAATTGGCTTTACATGTCTAGGTAATTAGATAACATATATTGTAGATTACCATCATTTGTAGCATTTGCTACAATTCTTAATTTTGAAGAGAATAAACATCTTAATTTTTAAGATGGTATTGTTTATGATTTTAGCCAAAGAATACCACCAATAGCTAGAATAGCCAAGTGAAACAAATTTTTTGATTTGTCAACGAACAAGTGAAACAGAGACACAAAATACATTTTGTGAATATTTTATTACAATTATAGTTTTCATTCTAATTGTGATATGCTGAGTTTTAGACAAACTGAACTTCTGAAAATGGCAGTGGTATCACAGAATCACAGAATCATAGGGGTTGGAAGGCACCTCCAGAGATCAGTGGTACTGGAGTAGCAAATAGCAAAGTCCTGCACATGCAAATAGAAAATTGGACAAGACTTAATTCCAAACTTTGTATACACTATTCTACACTAAACCAAAAAGCTGCCAACCTATTTCTTCTTGTGACAGCAGGTACTGGTAGAACGTGATCTTACTGCTTTCCCTTTGATAACCAATATATTCTGTACAAAATAACATTTTCAGAGTCATCAGAACCCTTCCTGAAGTACTGATGCAAATTCTTACAAGTTCCTGTGAGCCGAGACTGTAATAAGCTAAAGAATGTTAGCCAGTTTTCCTGGAATAGGAGGGAAGTATAACTCCAAAACTAAACACAAATAATGGGTCAAGAATTGAGTATCTGATAGAAAAAAATCAGCTGTCTCGTGTCACATTACAGTAGTGGTCATACTTATGTAGCCAAGATGAGTATTAACTGCTATTTTTTCACCAAGCCCATATATTATTTACTACAGTGAGACAATACATAGTAATAAAAAAACACGTGTAACCTTCGAATTACATGGAAGTCGGAAATGAGGTGTATATAAGCTTGTATACCTCAATACCACAGGGCAAAGGAGATTAATTCTTCTTCCCTCTCCATTTCAATGATCTCATTCAAAAATACTTTCTTAGTATATGTGGTTTCTCCTTTCTACTTGCTATCATTGTAAGAATGCAGTACGCAGCATACACCAGTACTGCAGAAGAGCAACACGTTAACCTTGAGAGCACTACTCCCACCACTGAGGAGGTCAAAGCAAAGAGCTCAACCCTCACCACAAGTCACACCATCACTGCACTCAGAGCTGAACTGTCCCAGCCATCTGACGGGAAAAAAAGCTTTGTCAATTAATTAACTGAAAAGTAATTAATAACAAAAAAACACTTCTATTGTTTTTCTGTAATTGAGTATGAAGAATCGTGCTATTTTTATGCAGCCAAACCTTGAGCTGAAACCTGATTTGAAGCCTTGCCTACAGAAGGAAATTCATAAGCACACAGAAAATACTAATGCCCACCAGCTGTGTAATAATCATAGAAATGATAATCCAGTAATTAAAAGTGCAATATTTTACCATGCATACAGTTCATTAAAGCTGTCTACTCATTATGTTAACTATGTTTTGGAATTCTGGAACTCATTTAGACCGTTTATGTTCACTTCAAAATCTGTTTAGAATGGACAAGAGAAAAAAAAATGTGCTGATGGAGTTAAATTAAATTAAAGCCAGCGCTGCCTCTCAGTGCAGCTTCTGCTGAGAATTTAGTGAGTTTTCTCTGTAGTCATTTAGTGAATTAATATTTTTTCCAAGCTCACAAACAAACAAAAAAATGGAGTAATCACAATGATTACCTACTCTCCCTTCCTGGTTTAGGTCTTCCAAATGCAAGACACATTTTGTTACACTGACAGTCCTGCTAAACATCTCTCCTTCAGAAACCAGAGCCCTTTATTTCTGGAGTTTCCTTTGAAAGATACAAAATATGTGAAACTGCATTTCTGAATGCTGAACTAGACCTATTTTCTTCTAAAATAAATAATGTCAGTTGTGCTTTTTCAGTTTCTCATCTATTACTGCAAATTCCAGTGATGAATGAAGTTCTCTTCCTTGGAAAAAAAAAAAGATACAGCATTATGATCCCACTAACCTAGAGACCAGTATCCTCTGACCACTGTCTTGCTCTATTACAAATACGATCTTTAATTTTTCAGTCCACCACCACTATTATTTTCCCAACTAACAAGGATACTTCAGGATAAAAGAACTAAGGATCACAGACAGGTATTCACGATAGTTTGACACGATGCTGTTTTGTTCAAGTTTTGTCTTGGATTATTTAAAAAGAAATCCTTCAGCAGCAGTGAAACTGTGCAACAAAGAAAACCAGCAGTAGCCAAATGCTCTTTTCAGACACCCTCTTCTTGGCCCAAACTTTGCCTTCTATCAGAGTAAGACACTGTTGGAAAAAAATGCTCTCTACTTCATAAATCTTGTCAGAATTCCTTCAATAAGATGCTTTTAACGAAGTTGATGCTTAAGCAGAAGAACATTCATATATTTGTCACCTGAAGTCCAACATGAACAGATTTAATACACTGCCCCGTCACTTTAATTTTCAGGTAGTCAGATAATTTTTCAAGCCGTAAATCTGAAGACCAGGAAGCTTTTGATTTTATAATATAAACAGTTATGATTAAGACTAGAAAGCAATTATAACACACCAGTTTCTTCAGCTGTATCTTGAGGCTTGGATTTTAATGTGAAGATCTTCCTCAGCTTACAGTTAGCTGAAATAATAATTCCATCCAAGGACTGGAAGATGGCTCCTCTGAATATTTCACTGGTGAATGCTACCAGGTCAATACACAAGTTGCACCACTAGAAAGAAGCAGCAAAATTATTGAATAAAACCCAAACACTTATCACTGTAGAAGCATATTAGTGTACAGATCTCAGTAAATGAAGCCTTTGTTGAGTATTAGATCCTTGCAGGCTGTGACCCACAGTGCATAACATTTTGATATTTAAAAAGATGTTTCTGTGCTTGCAACAACTATTTATGTAAGTAACTCACTACATACGACCTAATGACTGCCAGTTCAAGTGAGCTCAGTTCCCTACCACAACCACAACACATTTTGCAGATATTTCAAAATAAGCAACTGGTGAGGAAAATGTTTAATGACCATTTTCCACTTGCATATTGTTGGTTTTTATTATACAGAAATGAGTAGCTACAGTATCTATCTGGATATGGACCACAGTAAAATTCAGTATATTCCTAGGAAAAAAGTTTTGCATAAAGCAAATAATACTAAAAAGAGAACTAACAAAATATGTCTTCTTGTGGCTTTGTGTCTTCCAGATAGAGCCTGAGATGTTTAAGAAGAGCTATGCTCACCTGTGTTTCTAACAGTTCTTCTAAAGAGGTATTCAAGACTCAAGTTCTTACAAGGTTATATGGTAACCTCCCAGGTTTTCTATCCTGGCAGGCATTATCATGTGCCCTGGCTGGGTATGGGAGAAAACAATAGGGAGAATGTGACAGCTATTGTTTTATTTTCAACAGGCTGATATATAGTGTTTTATATATTCTAGAAACTGGAGAAACCTGGAGCACATGAAAGTAGTCATCAACTATAATTGACAGCTGCAGCTCCAGCATATGTTATAAAAGGTCACTACAGGAAAAGGTACGTGTGAACAGGAGCACTATAAAGAAGAATGAGAGACATGGCCACAGGCAGAACAGACAGTAAAAGTGACAGATAAACACAACACAAACAGTATCAATCTTGGAGAACAGTATTAAGTGGCTCTCATACCATCCAGTAGGTGGGACACACACATATTGTGCATCAAATGCGCTCTGAAGCAAACAGTAATTTCAACAGGTCTGTAGACTTATATAAAATCCTTCTGATAAAAAAGTTCTGCTCAACCACAGTTAAAGGAACACTCCAAATACCTACTATTTTGCGCCTGATCATAAACAGAGGAATTTTTGCATGCAGAGGGGTTACAGACAACTCCTTGTGGACTGTTGATAAATATAATCTTCTTTTAATATTTCCTAAATCAGTTATCCTGCAAAATAAAAGCAGGAGAGAATAGGATGGATCTTTGTCAATTCAATAACCCAGTATCTTTAGCAATCACAAAAAAACTCTATTCTTCTTATGCAGAACCTTTGTGTCAGTGATAGCAAATAGAGAATTTAAGAATTCCTTTCTACAAGATGAGTAATGAGATTTCTTTCTCAAATTCAACCTTGGTGGTGATATTCCTGCATATATAAAATCACTTTGCATGCTAATTTTATTTCAACAGTCTACACTCTTTCCTAGATTTCCATAGCTCTTTAGACTATGAAAGAATTCAATTTGTTTGAAGTGAGAACCCAGTAGCCTTTAATAATCACACTTGTTTCTTCCCCTTAAGCTTGTGTTATCTTGGGATACATTGTCACCTTCTAACTAGAAAAACATTATTTGCTTTCCTTTCCTGAAAAGAGCCCCTGTCATTCTTAAACATAAGACCGTCTGCTCATTTCACTTTCTGACACACACCTTCGTGTACAACATAATACAGAAGTGCATCGTTCACTATTCAGGTCGTCTCACAATGACACTAAGGACACCGAATTGAACACCTGTAATAGATTTAGACCACAGCCATGATCACAAATACTAGGTTTGCATTCAACTGATAAAGAGACTGCTTATGTTCTGCTTTCTTCAAGTCCTGACAGCAGCAGAACGTTGATACTGGCCCACAGCACCACTCTATGATACTGAATAACAGACCTTAAAGGCTGCAGTCTCTGTGGGGAAATCACGATAAATTTTCTTGTATTTCTGAACAACCCCATTTCTAACAGATGGGTATTTCTCTATAATTAGCAGCCCCTCTGAGAAGGTGACAAATAATTACTGTAAACAACTTTCTGTCACTATTATTTTTTTTAAAAGTAATTACTCATAAATAATTATGATTTAAATTCTGGGCTTGTGAGACTTTAAATTGAAATTGTGAGAGCACCCTGTAGATTACTTCTTTTTCTTTTTTAAACAAAAATATTTTTAATTAGTAAGGACTACCTGCTGCTGAACTAATGAAATGCTGTCACCCAAAATTTCCTGATAAACATTCTGAAGTGTTCTCAGGATTCCTGGGGTCAAGTGAGAAAGGGATCCACTCTGCTGTGTTACATTTTACATCTATTTTTGGCAATTCAAGACTTCAACAAGGAGATCATTCAGTACAAGACAATTGCAATTAAGTGAATACTAAAGGGTTCTACTAGATAAAAACATAGAAGTTCCTTCTATTTTCCCACTAATGTTGTGAACATCACACAAAGTAAAAGAGGTCCAGAGGCCTTCCAGAACTTGCTGAAACTTCGCTCTCCCATTCTGATTTATTCATCCTCATAAGACTGGTTGGTGAATCAAAACAGAACTGAAGAGTCTACTAGCAGTTTCTTTTGAGAGATCAGTAGTTCCACAAATAAACTGAATGCATCTTGAAGAAAGAAATATCATTTCTGTGCCAGAGTACAGCATTACGTCCTCAGCACTGCCATCAACAGGACATTTCAGTATCAGCTGCATGTATATTTATGAATGGATGAATGATACCATCAAGCTCTTGAAAAGTGCTTTCATCACAAGATCTTAAAGTGTCTTACAATGGTAGGATTCTGTGCTTGATTTTAATTTTGATGAAATTGGGGCAAAATAATTCCCCTAAGATCATCAAGTTGGCCATACAGCTAAACTTGCGCCCCAGATCCAGGCACAGCTCCATCCATCCCTCTGCTTCTTTTATACACTTCGGTGAAAGCATAGGACTGCATTTTTCAGAAACTCTCCACTCTGTTCTCAATCTTGCTGCTCACAAGTGCTGTGCAATTGAGGTGCCAAAGAATTCCAAGGAATGGCAGTAGTGGTTGTTTGAAAAGTCTTGGTTATGCAGTTAGCTGAGCAACTAGGTTGAATCAGGCAGTTGTAGGAGCGCCAAACAAAAACAGCGTTCTTGCTGAAACACAGTTATTTGCAGTGCAAAATGCTGATATAAAAGATGTCATGACAAAACAGTACCAACCCGAACTTAAACTATGCACATCTCTGAATAACTGGCAAGAGAAACTTTTTTTCACTTCATAATATTAGTTCAAGAAATATGTTGAAATGTCATAGTTTATTTTTATATCTTTAAATTTTTATCTTTCTCCCTCCTGAAACATATTAGGCACCTTTGCAGTAGAAAGGCTATTAGTAAATGTACAGCTTAGCTACATTCCAAAGTGCAATAAAAACATGATTAGATAAAACTACGCATGTTTATATCACGCTCTGAAGCATCAATCTAAAATAAGATGCTTTTTGTGATTGCATGAATGCCATAAAGAAGAGGCAAACCCTAGATATATAGTTATAAGCACACCTAAGGAAGTTTAAAACTTATTTCAGTAAATAAATTTAAAACAATAAAAATATTTATATTTTACAGTAGAAATCTGGTGAAACTTTTGGAGAAGGGGCAAAATTGAAGAAAGAAGAGGGTCTTAAAATTCTATAAAATAATTTATTTGCTGGGACAGTAAAGAAAATGATTCGGGAAGGGGTAAAACTTCCAGACTCTTCAGTTACATTGCTTCCTGATTTTCAAAGACATATTAAAAAAAATCCATATAAGAGTTAATATATTTTTACAACATCTGTGTTTGAGTATTTATATCTAAGGGTCAGACGTGATAGAAAAGTAATGAGACCATGTTGAGAAAAATGAGGTAGTCAACAGGAAAATCAACCTCATTTATAATAATATTCCTGTGATCAGCAGGTGCATAACTCTCCCAGCTACGGCCATTAACTGCATTCATTTCACACTTAACATCTACATTTGCAAATCATTTGAAAGTAAAATTACCTTCCAATTCAATTTTCAATTTTATTTTATATATTCTACTTTGATTGACTATTCTCCTCACAATGGTAACTGTAGCCAGATTGCAAGTAAATAGTAACAGCTACCCAAGAGTATAGATAAACTCATCTTCTCAGATTACCTATTCACTTTGTTGTATGTATAATCATTTATAGCCATTTGTTAATGTTCAATTCAAGGCTTAAAATGAACTTAGAAAAAATGACATTGGACTGTTGAAGAAATGCTTCATTTATCAGGCTCACTTGTTCTTAAAATGAAAGTGTTTTTTCTCCTTATAAATGACTTAACCTGAAAGTTTACCAAACAGGAAAGTGGGTATTTTATTAATGTTGCTATGCAAGAAGCATACAATTGCCATACAATTTATTATTCACAGAAATTTCCACAGATCCTGGTCAAAATCCAGGCAGGAAACAAACAGGTACATTTTAACTATTAGTATGTTAGCATATTAGATTTTAGTCATCTTCGAGCCTTCTTGTCTATAAAAGTGATTGTTCTTCATAAATACTGGGTAGTACCAACATCCCATTTTAGAGACAGAAAGAGCAAAGGAATATCAATGGTTTTGTGATTTGCCACGGTCACAAATTCTCAAATTTGCTTTTTCAGAGACAGTTTCTATTTCATTCATGTTTTATTTTACACAATACTTGTAAATTAGAGCTACTGAACTGGTAGCCTGATCATCTGAAATCCTGAGCACTGAGTTTTGCCATCATTGAAACAGTTACATTGATAATCAATCAAATATCTACAGAACAAGAGATGAAAGAGAGTCACATGCTACCTGGGCCTAGAGAATAAGTTATGAAGAACCACCTTTCATTTTATATACTGAAATTTTCAATGTTGGTAATCATTTTCTGGAAACAAATAAGGAAACAAAAAACCACCCATTAAACTCTTCTTAAACAGCATCCATAGAATGGCAGTACGATCGGTGTCAGGTTCATTAAAAGAGAATGAGGAAATCTGATTGCTAGAACAGAAGTGCTTTCCAAATATAAGCAATTGTGAAGAACTGGAGACTCCTGAGCTCTTTCCGCAAAATAATCAACATATTTGCCATCGATTTCCCAACTGAAAGAATGAGCTGATATTTTCAGTGATCGAGAATAATTTGTTGTGACAGTTTCATTTCATTACTTTTAGAACTGTATACATTCCAAAAGAAACCAACAAACCAAGAAAACCAAACCAAAACATTCTTGAAACGGTCATTAATTCTTCTAACACATTCACAGAACTTCTATTAATATGTTAACTTCTAGGTTTTGACATCACCTTATCTGTGTAGCTTTTTCTCTCTCAGTTTTGTAATAAATTCTGTTTATAGGAAGTTCTTCTGAAACACAGCCAACTCTATCAATTCACTTAGAAAACTGTAACTCTAGAAAATAGTTTTTGATTTCCTCAGCATAGATGAAGTATACATGTATATATTCTAATGAGTATTAATAAGTGGAAAGTTCAGTGCAAACATCTTTTCCAGAACGGAAACAAATTACCCTTACCATGCACTTATTTATGCCTGTAGCTAATTCTGTTGTCTCTGTTATTCAGTTTATTGACTGTTATTCTCTGCACTTTCTTTTTCATTCCATAAATTTATCTATTTCAGAAAGACAATCAGTCCTTTCATATTTACAAAGAAAAGGTTATATTCGCACCTGCTATGTGTATGTAATAAATACCTTAATTATAAACAAATGTATCACATTTAATCCATTTATTCTAATTACGGAGTTATATGAACTGCTAAAAAGTCTGCCCTTTAAAAAGAACTACATTTTCTTGCTCACATCAGATCATGTTATTTACTTTACTTGAACATTTTGAACAACAAACTCTACCAACTAACTGGATGGCAACTGTTAGGTCATGACCTGAACCAGTGATTGAGCACCTGGCAAAGGGGTACAGCCAGCCCTGGGAGCACAGGTGGAAGCAATTCATGTGTGTGACCCTGGGTCCACCCCCTCCCTAATCACATTTAAGGCCCAGCAGCTGCAAGAGAAGTACGTCTACTTGGAGACTGTTTGCTTTGGAGTGTTTAGAGAGTCCTGATCCTTGGAAAGAGGTAAGTGATTCCTTTATTTCTGGATTGTAACTGCTGTTGTTCTTGGGTCTAAAGCAAAACTGCCTGTCCTTACACAAACATACACAGGATTCAGTTTACTTGAAGTTACTTAAATTGATCCAGTAGTCAAAATACACATAATTAACATTATCTTAAGTCTTAAAAAAACAAACAAACAAACAAAAAAACCCACAACTAACATTTCGGTAACATCACAGGACACAATCTACCACCATGTTAAGATATACTCTATTCATTAAATCATGTACCTATGTGGTAAGTTGAAAAGGACTTGCTCCCTAGCAAGTTGAAAGTTAACAAAAGAGAACATGTCTCCCATTAGTTCCAACAGATCAAGACATAATTAAGCAAAGACACTGTGGTACGGCTCAAAATAATTACCTTCAGGGTATTTCTTAGGACTGTGAAGGAATACTGCCATTCAAAAACTTAATGTCTGTAGTCTTGAGTGTTAGAAACACCTCGCAATAGATGTTTCCACTTTCCTTATTGCTCTTAATAACATGTGTTCAGCAGTCACCTACTTCCCTGCTTCAGTTCTTCATTCCCACACTGAGTCCTCCTATGACTTGGAAAATATTACTTTTAAGCATTAACTGGGACAGTGAGACCTACATGGAGACAACCACTCTGTAAGGCTGCAAGCCCTTGAATCACTGTGCACCTCACTCTGCTCTTACTTATGATCACTACTGCTGTATGTCAGATCACAACTTTGCCAGCAATTTTCTTTTTAGGTAAAAAATAATTACTCCTTCATTTCCTTGAACTGCAAAAGAAAAAGGGGTGGGCAGTTTGAGGGATTGACTCAAGTAGTTCTTTAAACCTCAAAAGAGGACATTCTAACTGACCTTCATCACTCTTTTCTTCCTGTCTTCCTGAACTATTAACTTGTCAGAATGCTCACAGTTTTTCTTTGCTGCTGCCATTTGAAAAGATGCACCTCATAATCCTTTGTAATTACACTTATTTGAGTGCTATTTCTTCTATCTGTATTGTGGATAAATAAAAGCTGCTCTTGCTCTCAGCAGTTTACCATCTTTGTAAACTATTCAGAACCTGAAAGTTCATGTATTGTTCAGAAATATGTCTTCTCTGATTTAATTACATCAGGATATGATAGCTTTTTAACATACACTTCCTTATAAATTATTATAGAAGAGACTGTCATGAAAATAACTGGAAATTGACAGTGCTCAACTTCTTTAGCCACCTGGATCTCCATGCGTGAGTCATTTCCTCGGTGTTTCAGGATGTGTATTCTGCCCCACCATCTTCACTTCTTTCTTTCCAGCAGTGGTAAATGTATCCATTTAGAAACAAACCTAGAACCTATGGTTTTTAACCAAATCTTCTTTATCTTAAAAAAATAAGAAACATTTTCAATTCTCCCTTTTAATAACTGGAGAAACAAGAAAATACTGCTTAGAGAATATTCTTGTTCTATGGTTGCAGAAGACTAGGGAGAGGGGTTCAATGGAAGAACCTTCTGCATAAGTATGTTAAAAACAGTCTATAGCTGTTGAAGGGAAACAGTTCCAATGTCTGAGAGAGCCCTGGCTGAAGCGGTACCAGTTTCTCCAAGAAAACAAATTTTGTACCCATCTTCATCTGCTCAGCCATGCAAATATCACAAATTCCCCTTTCAGTAACTTTCAGAGAAACAAGTGATTCATGCTGCACAGAGGGGGTACACGTTCAAATACTGAAAGACAGGCTGCTGAAAAAGAAAGATCCAGCATTACCCCCCCAAATGGTGCTCAGATATGGACTCAAGAAGGGCACAGAAGAGAAGGGTGTTAACGAAGATCCAGACGGTCTCAGGAGGTACTGGAGAAAGATGTACTGGAGAAAGATGAACTGAAGAGCTTTTAAGAGGCACAGCAAGAACAAAAATCTTTAGGTAACAGGGAATTGAGAATTGTGGAGAAAAAAGAATGGGAACTATGTGCTACTGAAAAAATTCATGGAGCCAAGGAAAACATACTTTCAACAGGCAGGAAGTAAATCTGGATGCTTGCAAGCTTTAAGAAAAAGCTCAAACAATAGAAAAAGCCTTTATCCTGATTAGGCAGTAGAAAAACAACTACCCTCTTTCAGAACAAATGTTGGTGTAACTAGTGACAGATTTTTAAACTAGGACTGTGCATTTTGTTTCCAGTTCTATGATAATTGCACAAATCCTTTCAAATCTGACAAGTAGAACGCTGCTCATTTGGAATGTATTTCCTAAAATACCATGCATGCTGTGCTGTTGCATTAGTGAAAGTGATGACTGGAAGAATGATTAAAAAATAAGTTGTTTACTTACAAGTATATGAGTTAATCTCTGCAGTAAGCTAAAGAATTTAACATATTCTAAGAATGTTTGTGTTTTCGTATTTCATGCTTGACTCAAAAAATTCAAGGAGCAAACCTCATTCTTGCTAAGCATCAGAATTTCAAATAATCTCACCAGATGAATTTGTTATATGAGGTTTACCTTCAGTCTTTTCCATTAACTTCAATGCAGTTAGAAGAATGTGGTAGAACTAGCGTGTGTTCTGCTTCTAGTTTGGAAAGGCTGGTCTAACCTTTGCAAGACAAAGATTCATTTTTCTAATTGTTCTGTACCTAAAAACATGCTGGGTCCTTAGACTAAGATGAATAATTTATCACATTTCTTGCTAAAGCTAAGAGGATGACTAATTATTATAGCATGTAACTCGCAATTCAAGCTATTATGGTGTCTGTGAATAAATTAGCAATATAAATGTAGTGAGTTCTGCTTACGGAAGATTTGAAAGTAATAAACCTGTATTTTCAAAAACAACAGTTTGAAAAATGGAAATAAGGTGTAACAATCTATATTCTACTGAACTGTTCACAAGCCCTGCAATAAAACTTACTGTGAGCAGGTGCAAATGCCTAAGTCGTGCAGGCATTTAATGCCCTTTTCATCTGCAGGGTCCTCTATACGTAATCAGCTGAACTTTGACAGAAAACTTCTTAAAACTTAATATGAATGTTCTGGAATTTAAAACTGAGTTCTCACTTATTTGGTAAATCAAGAGTATCTCTTTGTATTATAAACCCCCAAACATGTGAACAAGGAATAAGTACCAGCCTTAAATTTGATGCATGCAGAAGCTTTTTTAAGAAAAAGAGGGATCAAATTTAAAATACAGATTCTCAACTTTAAATTGCAGAATGTAAGTCCTGCATACGGGGTGAAATAATCCCATCAGTATGGAAGGTTTATATAAATAGAAATAAAAAGTAACTGTAAGAGCGACTGAGCACTGGAACAGGTTGCTCAGATTCTCTGTGGACTCCTCATCCTTGCTGAGACTTGTAACCTGGTCTAGACAGTCTCTGGAGGCTTCTTCAACCACTATCTGATTCTGTGAATGGCTGCAGCATTTTCTTATATTTTTCCTAATGACTCATGGTTGCGAGGAGAAAATAAGGGAAACAAACCCTAGTATCTCTGTGTAACTACAGCAAATTGAGAAGAAAGCTGTCAAGAATCAGGGAGGAACCAGTTGTGGGAGTAATTGCATTAATGATATCAGATGAAGGAAAACAATTGTTATGATTTAAAAAAAAAAAAACAACAAAAACAAAACTTGCCATGTAATCTGAAAGATCTGAAGTGGTATTGATAAGCCTTCAGTTGAGTTTACTTTTCTTGCCAATGTGGGAAAAGACGTGTATCTATATAACAGTTGGATAGTTGTTAGCTTTTGGTACCCCTGGCAAATTTCATTCCTACCTTCTTCCAAGTTGCTACCCAGAATGAGGCAGTACTATAAAGGGGACTGACCTCTACTCAGTAAATATTTATTAGCATCTAGACAAGAATACTTTCCTTCCATCACAACACAGTTCTGTATCCAAACTGTTATTCACGAAGAATCCTCTCCATAACAGATTATGATATTGGCTTTCTCTGCAGAGTATTTTGACAGGAATGAGTTAGAAATATGTATTAAAAACAGAGCTGAACACACAAGCTGAAATACAATTTATTATTGCATACTTCTATCCTGACTGAATGCCCAAATGCAGAATTGAGAAACTTCTCTTTTTTGTCAAACACATTCTCTCTCTTAAACTGACCTCTATGCAGCATCAGGATAACTCAACAAACACTAAATTTGTCCTGTCAGCACAAACTAGCCTGATAAGTCAATATATTTTGAAGTTCACTCCTATTGTAAATCTTTGTGTTTAAAAGTAACATTATCAATGTTGACTTTTAATAATCTACTTTCAAAATAAATTAGTAAATGTTATTCCCACACACTCTATAAAAGAACCTGGGGAAGAGAAAAGGTAGGGAGAATTACAAGGACGCATGCAAGCCTATGTAGCACTTCAGTATGTAACCAGAAATTGATCTCATATTCTTGTTCGTGCTTCAGACAACTCCACTTTTCTCTCTATTTTCTTTTGTTGGGTAGCTATTGGACAATGTAGAAGTCTATTTTCTCACACTAGCAGCTCTACTCCTTTGCTGTGAAACTCACTATGTAACTTACTAATTTCATATGACATAGAACATATAAAGCAAACCTGTAAAAAATGAAGCATAACAAATGACTGGCATTAGAGTACTTTAAGAAGAATGAATGTATTTGTGCTTGAAGAGATGCCAAGCAGAAGTGCTAGCACCTGTACATGTCCATATATTGGGAACTAAACCAAGAATACTAACTCAACCAGATGCTGTTTTCTTTTATGCACAAATATTTTCCAAACACTGAGTTACTTCTGCATTTCAGAAAGGTAGCAAAATCTGTAATGCTGAGCTACTGTATTTACAGCAGATGGCTATACCCAGAACTACTAATAGCTTTGCTATTATTTGCTTCAAAAAGGCTGCATGCATAAAATGCTCATCACCATGGTTTGGATTTTATTGTGCTTCACCAGATTTTTAATTCACAATTTATTTTACATATCCGTTAAGCAGATTGATACATAGATTGTTCATGTGGTGATATTCATCTATTAATGCCCCATAACAACATATCTACATTTCTGCTTATTTTTTTTTCCAAACAACAAGACAGATAACTGAAACAGTTGTTTGTACATTTAGTATTTATGACAGGAATCTCACATGACCAGTTCATAGGAGCAAGTTGGAAGGATGAGCTC